ATTATTTTGTCCTTGCTTCTTTTCCCCCAAAAGTACCTGTTGCTTCAATAAACAACATCTGGATGGAGCATTTCATATATGAGGTTAACATGTTTATTATTTATTCTGTTGTATCCTCGAGCCTTAAGCTTCACTGTCTAAAACTTTTTCCAAATATTTCCATCACTAACTCAGATAGGTGAGGAGATCCTTTCCTAGGCAAACATTGAGAAATGCAAATACTAAATGCATAGATTCAATTGGCAAGAGGACTAACGGAACTCAATACAGGTTGTGAGAAACCAGAACATCTCGCATTGTGAGGCAAACAGCAGGGATACTACTTTTTAAATTGATCAACAACACAAGACACCAAAGCTCTATAATTAGAAGGCTTATATACCATAATTTAAAATGTTCCCCTTAACTGTAAATAGACTTACCATGTACTTTAGTATTAGTAGCAATTCTTAAACTTGATGATGTTCAGCATGTATTGAAGACATATGATACCACCAAGGCACTTGGTTAATTTGATGCACAGCTATTATTACTTTACTCCATGTGTAACTACTGGTAGCTACAAGTAATTAGAATTTAGGCTTGGAGTGATATCTACATAAAAGTGTATGGTAAAAGTAAGCATAATTTCTAACATTTATTGAGCACTTGGCATGTGCCTTGCCTGTTATTAAGCCTTTTTTTTTTCTTTTGCAAGCATATCTTATCTAATCCTCTAAACAACTCTGAGAAATGCACTGCTCTTACCACTTTTTTTAAGGATGAGGAAACTGGACCTTTAAAAGGGCATGTAATTTGCTCAAGATTCTAACTAGTCAAGTGATAGTCTAGAATTTGAACCCAAGCCATCTGAATCCAGATCCTGAGTTCCCAACAATTAAGAGCAGGAGAAAAGTTAGGTTGTACTTCTCTCTCCTTCCTTCACACAACTTTCTCTCCTACATCTACTAGTACACACTTTTGGTTAATCAACCTTTGAATAACCTACCAAATACAGATCCCAATCACATCAGATGAGAGGGTTACACTGTAGGCATGTTTTTCCAGGCCTGTTACACCACACTATAAGATTTACAAGACATCTTTTTTAAAGCAAAAGAACTTTAAAACAAAACAAACCACCCAAAAGAAAACAGGGGAGCAACTTGGCTTTTGGACCATGTACTTAGTAAATCCAGTCAATTGAAAAATATATCTCTAATACAAGGAAATCAGTGAATGACATTGTTGGAAAGCATTGAACTTACTATGAAGTACAAACCCATTTCCTATGGAAAATGCAATAATTTATTTCCTTGGTACAAGCTTTCCAGTGAAGAATGTCATTAAACTGGATGCATTGCTCTGATTGGCTGCATACTCAACCCAACAGAATATATACAAGCAAAGAGGAAACACGCTGTCTAGAAAAAATACACCATTTCCTTTTATTTCCTCTTCTGAGTAGAACACCTCTTCTTTGGGGAACAAGTCAGGGGCATATAAAAATTCCCTACATAACATTTTCCATTCTGACAGCCAGAAAAAATGAGAAACCATGAGAATCAATGAGGACGACCCAATGATTCTCAGAAAGGCAAGAGTTTCTGTGGTGGATGCCTCACATGGGCTTCTTATCCAGCAGAAGGTCAGCTGCCTGCAATCCAGATCTCCCCCAAATGAGCAAGAATTCATTTAATAAATCCATATTTTATTCCAGCTTGGCTGAAACATCAGTTGTGTGGAGATGAGTAGTAGGAAATAAAGCTGTAAAGATAGGAGGGGTAAACTGTAGAGATCTCAAAGTGCCAAGGCAGGCTGTCATTAACTCAGTGGGCAGCTATGGAACCACAGAAAGATTCTGAGAAGAGCAGTGACATGACTGTAACCTATGGAGATCAATGGGAAAACAGTATAGGATAGCCCATAGGTAGGGGAGATGAAAGGTAGAAAGACCAGTTAAGAGGCAAGATATGGAAACAGCCTAAGTGTCCATCTATGGATGAATGCATAAAGGAGCTGTGGGATATGTGGGGTGTATACATCTATATCTATATCTATATCTATATCTATATCTATATCTATCTATATATCTATCTATCATCTAACTATCTTAGCCACAAGAAAGAAGGAAATCCTGCCATTTTGGTGCGTAGAGCTGAAGGGCATTGTGCTAAGTGAAATAAGTCACACAGAGGAAGACAAATATGGTATGATATAATTTATATGTGGAATCTAGAAAAGCTAAACTTCTAGAAACAGAGAGTAGCACAGTGGTTGCCAAGGGCTGGTAGGTGGGGCAAATGAGAAGATTTGGTCAAAAGGTATAAATTAGTTATAGAATAAGTTCTGGGGATCTAGCATGGTGATTAAAGTCAATAATACTGTTTTATGCACTTAAATGTTCCCACCACAAAAAGAGAAATGGTAATTATGTGAGGTGATGGAGGTATTAACTAATGTTACTGTGCTAATCATTTGGCAATATGTATAAAATGTATCTGATCACTATGTTGTATTCCCTAAACTTATACAATGCTACATATCAATTATATATCAATAAAGCTGGAGGGGCTTGACAGCTGTTGTGCTGGCCAACTTCCATTGTGTTTGCTTATAATTTATTTCACTGCATTAATCTCATGACTTCAAAGAGCCTATTTTCTATTATGTTGCCTATTAGGAAGTTTATACAGGTCTGTCTTATTGATTAGTTCAGTGGGATAGGATATCCTTTCAAAGTTCTGATGCTTGAAAATGGCAGATCTATATTCAATATGCATGCCAATACCACCTTAGTTAACAGAGCACTCATGAGGGTAGAATGCCAGTAGCACTTTTTGACGTCTGAGTCAGTCAAAAAAGGCTTTGCAGCTTCCTCCTGACTGGTCAGAACACTCCCTCCACCAGGCCTCGGTGCATGTCAGAAGGCTGGTAGGGCACGTGTGGGTGCTCCAGTCATTCTCAATTGCACCCAGACTTTCAGCAAATCCCATGAAAGCACCAGACTGTGAGGGAGGAAGCCTCCAGATGCCAGGCTCCAAGCACTGGCATCACCCCTGCTGCTCGAGCCCTCCCAGCTGAGGCCTGAGACATCATGCAGCAGAGACAAGCCTCTCTGCTGTGCCCAGCCCATACTCCTGACCCAGAGAACTCATGAGCATAATAAAATGGCTTTTCTTTTTACATTATTAAGTTTGGGGGTGGTTGATTAAGGTATAATAGGTAGCTAGAATTCTATGTACAAGAGAGGTGGTAAACCAATGGTTGTAGAGCCCGGACACTTAATTCTGGGTGGTATATTTCGAAAGATTAAAAATCAAACATACTTAGAAGAGAGTAACAAGAATGTTCATTTATGGGGGGGGGGGTAAATGAAAGGACTGGAGATATTCAAACCAGAAAAGAGAAAAAGGGTGTATGTACATTGTCTTCAAATATTGGAAGGGCTATCATGAGTGAAAATGAAAACAATTACTCTGTGTATTCCCAGAAGAGAGGCCTAGGGACAATTAGCAGAAGCTAGGCAGTGGTTCTCAACCTGTGGGTCGCGACCCCTTTGGGGTCGAACGACCCTTTCACAGGGGCGTCGCCTAAGACCATCAGAAAACACATATATAATTACATATTGTTTTTGTGATTAGTCACTATGCTTTAATTATGTTCAATTTGTAACAATGAAATTGGGGGTCACCACAACATGAACTATATTAAAGGGTCGCAGCATTAGGAAGGTTGAGAACCACTGAGCTAGAGGGAGTCAGATGGAAGAATTCTCTAATGTTCTGAGCTTCCCAGGAAAGAAAAAGCAGCCTTAAGAGGTGGTGAGTTCACTAACATTCAAGGTAATCGAACACTAGATGATCACCACCTGGTGGATGGGTTTGGCGAGAATTCATTTATTGACCAGGAGTTTGAATGAAATGCTCTTACTTTAAGGTTACGCTGCAACACTGAGATGTGTTTAATCTAAAGATCAACCCCATTTCCTTGTTCTAAGAAATCTAATCCCAACACATGTTGAGCAGAGGGGAAAAAAAAAATACAAGATGAATAAGTTAAGTGAAAAGCAATACCCAGGTATAAATAGAACGTGACGCAGAACTTTAGAGGAAGAAATGGCAAAACTAACAGGAAAACAGAATCCAGCACAGCAGCAGAGAAACACTGTGAAGCACAAGCCAAGGAACAGAGAAAAGGAAAGGCGAAGACCCCATCAGTGACAATACCATGTAGAGGGGATGCCTTTCTCTTTCTTGAGAAACGGTTTTATTCATTTTTAAGACTTTTCTCTTCTGTCCACGGGAAAGACAGAGGAACACGGCAGCATAGCAGCAAACGGGAGGAGGTTCAAGTGGTAAAATGAGCGAAGCTCTTTCGTGATCACCCAGTGTCGGGCCTCACATAGATGTGTGCGCCTACAGGGTCAAGAGCACACGCATGGAAGCCACTGTGGATAACATCGGGATGGAAGAATGACTAAGGGAAGCAAGAAAAACTGGAAATTAAAACTTGGCTTTCTAACAAAGCCAACATGGAAAAAACACGCACAAGCCACCTAGAAAATGAGATGTGTCTAGAGCAAAGCCACAAAGGAAACAAAAGAGAAAGAAAACGTTAAAAAGTTATCTCAAGCACATTTCATCTGAACTTTATCACCATTTGTAATCCACTTCTGAAGTTTCATAATACCCTTTAACCTTAGTTACGCAACCCACTGAACAAGTCATCTCATTGTTACCGACTTGAAGGAAGAGGGGAGACTCTTTTCATGTTGATAAGAGATAGAAAAAGGAGTCACTCCCAGGGGGGGGAAAAAGTGTTCTGAGTCAGCTCCTGGAGCCTAATGGTGAGGAGTGGTGAGAGTGGTGATAATCTTTCGCTCGCCTTAACCCTTTCAAAGATTCGTGGCACCTGAAGCTAGACATGCATGACACTGAAAAAGTAAAAGTAACCTTCATTTAAATAAACAGAAACTTTTCATTAGAAGACAAAAGTAGAAATTGTTTCTTATTACTCACCCATTTCCTAGGTCGGCCTCGTGGCCGTTTTTCTCCAGTGGCTTCTGCTTTCTGCAAAATGAAAAAGGAAGTCAAATGGTTTCCTACCTAACACCATGCACCGGGGCTCACCAAGGCACACGTGTGAAGTGTGCATGTCCGACTTGCAGAGGTGATTTTAAGAACTGTTTTAACCATCTCTTTCTTTTTTTAGGTTCATCTTCTCCCTTTTTGATTCTTTTTTTTCCCCCTTCATTATATGATGTCAACAGATACAACCCTGAACACAAAAGACTCCCCTGGAGTGATTTTCTTTTATTTCCAGCCATAATAAAAAATGACTCGCACATATCCACAATACATAAAGTATTTTAGAAAATTAATGTTTCTTAAGCGATGATTTCCTTTCCATGTCACTAAAGTCACAAAATTTAATATTAGTGTATTGCTTTATAATTTACAAGGCACTTCTACATTGCTAGTCAAAAACAAGTCTAAACATAAATAAGACATAGGATTCTGATTTTTAAAAAACATTTGCATATTTCTAGAGTTAATTTCCTATTCCTTGCCAAAAAACAATCACCTGTCAATCAGTTCACTTATAGCAGAGGGAAAAATAACTGGAAGAAAGTATCAGTATTTGGAAACTATGGATATTAGAATTGAAAACTATGGATATTAAAATAATAATAAATATGTACATTAACTCTCCACTCAACACAGATATGGCATTAATATATTTTCTATTTTCAGAGTTTGTTTTATTGCTTTACTTCATAAATATTTTCTGATATCATGGTTATTTTTTCCCTTCGAGTCAAAATTTTAAATTTTCTAATTTTTCCTAGATGGTCAATTTGCATATTACTCTTTTATTAGAAAGGATGCATCACAAGAGAAATGAGCTGGGAAAAATAAAAGACTGCTAAGTATAAAGGATCCAGGAATTGTTTGATTTGAAAGCTGTCAATTTCTAAAAATGGCAAACGATGCTAAGTAATATGCACCAACACACACACATCACACACACACATCACACATACACACAAATCACATACACCTTCTATAAAAACAGGATAAAGAACACTTAGTACATACTTCTGTGTATGAGAATCATCCCAAGGCTATCTGAACACAAAAATGTAGGTAACCTGAGCTAGAATAACTTGTTTTGCATTTTACTTTTGTTACCTGGGGTAGCAGCCAGTAGATACTTAATACAATGATACTAAAAGTACCTGTTATCACTGTCTACACTGCCAAATGAGAATCTCCTCTTTCTCGTTTCAATTTGCCTGGTAAAAATAGATTGACACAGATGATAGATAGATGATAGATGACAGATAGATAGATAGATAGATAGATACAAAATAAGCCACAAGATTTCTCACTAAATAACTCCCTGGCCTGTCATTAGTATCCAACAGGTCCCATGCATTAACCCAAACTCTGTATAATTATAATGCTAGTTCACAATGATTTAGCATTTAAAATACCCCAGCCAAAGGGCTAAGTGACCGGAATTGAACCTGGGACCTTGCAGTCCGCAGGCCGACGCTCTATCCACTGAGCCAAACCGTTTCGGCATTCATTCACATGTTATTTTAATCCTTACAAGAATCTTACAAGGTAGGTATTACTTTTTCTCTTATTTTGCAGATGAGCAACTAAGTTTTAGATAGGGGAGGTAAACAACTCAAGGGCACACACACAAAGCTGGTAAATGGCAGATCTGGGATTTGAACCCAGTTCTGTTGGGCTCCAAGGACTGGGCTCCTACCTCCCAGCAGGGCTTCAACCTTCCCACAGGCATTTGCTACCACAAGGAGATAATTTAATTAACTAAAGTCATCACAGATTCAGCTAATTTCCCAGAACAGAAGGAAACCTGGCGGAGCCTTTGTCTATAACCCTGGGACTGGGCACTCTGAATCACCATTTCCTACTTCCCAGTCGCTCCACGGAGGAATCGCTTATGGTCAGGGGTTAGTGGTGTTGTCTTAACTTCAGTCATACGGGCAGGAATGAGATAAGTGAGAGCCTGGAGTGCCCAGTGAACCACACCCTCTTTCTGGGTGTTCTCTCAGAGAGAGGGGGCAGTATCTTAACCGAAACACAGACTCCTCTTTGGAAATTTTGGACTCAAACCCCTGCTCTGACATTTTAGCTTTAGGACTTTGGGCAGGTCCCTGAAAACCCCCATTTGGTTTCATACGTGAAATGGAGATAATGCCTCCTGTGAGGAGTGAAGTGCCTGCCCTAAATGAGGTGCGTGAGAAATGTTCCTTCCCTCCTAAGGAGATGGAACTCTTAAAGGGAAAGTTTTCCTTCAGGTTAGTCCAATCTCACAGAAGGTTCGGTCAATGGAAATATTCCATTACACCCACCTGTCGCCTTTAGAATGAAGCTTTTAAGAAACCCTTTGGCTGGTACATAGTGAGTTACACAAGTACAAAATTGTCTAATACAGAAGCAGCGTCTGATTTGGTATTTGGGAGCATAACTTACCCAATAGTAAATTACACAGACATGGACGATAGAAATCCTTCCTAGTGGGCTTGGCGATGAGAGGTGGAGTTGAGGGGAGGGGGCTATTGACCTTAAAGCAGCGGTTCTCAACCTGTGGGTCGCGACCCCTTTGGCAGTCGAACGACCCTTTCACAGGGGTCGCCTACGACCATCCTGCATATCAGATATTTACATTACGACTCATAACAATAACAACATTACAGTTATGAAGTAGCAACGAAAATAATTTTATGGTTGGGTCACAACCTGAGGAACTGTATTTAAAGGGCCAGAAGGTTGAGAACCACTCACTGCCTTAAAGGCTAGCACACCAGGCTTTCTCTGCACAGTTGTTACGTTTCAGGGGCCATGATGTGGTCCGGATGCATCTAACTAAACTCTGTGGAAGAGAAGGTTGTTTTCTAAAAGGGTTTCACTGCATTTCAAAAGTCAGAGAAAGCAACTCTCTGAGAGAGAAAGCCCTGCAAATCAGATGATTTTAAAATGAGCATCTCAACTACGGAAAGCCTATTCAAAAACAAAATCCGCACCATTTTCCAAAGGGCAAAAAATATCACAACTGTCACTTGGACTTGTATAAAGCAAACTTGCTGCATGGTCTTCGGGACAGAGTTACATGTAAACCGAAACCCTCTTCTGAGACTCCATCTAGAAGAAACACATTAGCTGTGCTGTGCGGCCTCGATCTGGGAGGTTTTCATTGTTCCTTAAAAACCACATTATTTAATCATTCTGATCAAACCTCACAGAGGCTGCAAAACAAGTTAGGATTTTAGTTTGTAAACCAGCGTAGATCCAGGGTTTTTACACAGTGCAAAACACAGGCTTTAACTGCACCGC